TAAAAAACACAGGAAAAAAAACCCTTTCCACTACAGAAATTCATTGCCAACTTAAAGATTTATGGAGAAAGTGCCGTTGGTTGATAAAATATATCAAGATGATCTACAATTTCTCTGCCAGGAAGGCAGAGCCCAGTGCTGTTATGTGCTCACCAAAGTTCAAGGTGTATTTCATCAGACAGAGAAAACATGTTACTTTCTACTTACTTGTAATAATTTTATCATAAATATTTCTCCAAATTACTCTGCAAACTATCTCTTTTAATTCTGTAGATTGAGAAAGCATTAGTTTACTCTTTAGTAACTTTATAGGTCACATAATTTCCTTGTTATCTAGTCAATTTCACCCTAGATGGAATCACCCCAAGAATGGTCCCCAGAGTTGCTAGCTCTTTGTTTCACAATCATAAGCAAAAGCCTTAAAGAAACTTATGAACTAACACAATTTTCATGGCTACAATATTGATTGTAACAATAACAGAAACTAAATTGTTAGATTTAGTTCTTCTGTAAAAATGATTTCATTTTGGGGGGGGGTGTTTTTGTTTACTTACTTTTGTTTTTGTTTCTTTATAGTAGACTCAGCAGCAGTTTATGTATTGTGGTGGGAGTTGGGGATAGTGGGAAGGTACCTTTACAAAGCCTATGATGTCCAGGATACATAGTTTTGTGTACAGTAATTCTTATATATGCTAGAAAATATCACTGGAGCTAGGAGGCAAAAGGAAAATCCCTATCAGATGTCTGTCTGCCTGCAAAGTTTCCTCCATTCTGTTTGAATATTAGGCTTCTATAATCCTGGTGCATGTCTTTGCAATAAAGGTTTAAGCTTGCCCAAAGAGAGATCATCTTTGCCCCTGGCTCCTGTAAGGTAACTTCTAAGACCTTGGAATACCCGGCCTGGTAAGAGTATCTTTCTTCACCTAGGGGCCTTAGGCCATGCCAGATAATCTATACTAACAATGTGGTTTATAGTGAGGGGTCTTGGGCCACATGAGGTCAGCTTGATCTCTAGAGGGCCTGGAGATTAAGGTCAGCCACGTGGCAGCCAACCATGTTTATATGACAAAGCTCAATAAAAATTCTGGACACCAAGGCTCAGCTAATTTCCCCGATTGGCAATACCCCATGCATTATCACACATCATTGCTGAGAGAAGTTAGCACTAACCACAGTTCTGCTGGGAGAGTACAACTGGAAGCTCATACTTGGAACTCTCTGGGATCCTGCCCTATATGCCTCATTTCCCTGTTGATATTATTCTGGTCCTTTTATTATAGTAAACCATATGATGAGCATAAGTGCTTGTAGAGAGTTCTGGAGTCCTTTCTAGCAAATTATCAAACATGAGGGTATTCTTGGGGACCTCAAAGTTGAGTTGGTGTTGCATACATGTCATGCACAAAGCACACCTGGCCACAAGAACCTTCGGCCATCACACTGGGTCATAGAACACTATTTTTCTCATAATAAGCACTTAAATCCTCAGTTTACCAACAACAAAAAAATGGCATAGGCAAAACCTTCCAGGAATTTATGTGGGTTGTATGTGTGTCTGAAGTGGAATGATCCTGAACTTATAGATGTTTTGACTCATATCATCTAACAGTAATACTCTCTCAAGAGGCTAAAAAAAATCTTGAAAATCACTGGGGAGGCAGCTTGGACCAAACACTGTTGAAAAATCTGTCCCAAGACAGTCTTGGAGCAGTCTTATCTACATAAACATCAGTTTTCTAATCCATGAAGCAAGAACAATTATAACAGCTCTGCCTAAGTCATGGGTGATCATAAGGACCAAATTGGAAAAGAAAATTGATTTGAAAGTGCTTTATAATTTGTAAAGCCACAGACAGAAAGATGTAGGGCTTCATTATTTTGCCTTTGAAGTCATGATCCGAGGAAAATTTTAATAGGCAAATGAAAATGGTTGGTTAAATAACTAGGACAATTTCTTGGTTACAGTGAAGCACTGTTTTGAAGGGAGGAAAAAGAATACCACTACAGTTTTCTAATATATACATAATTTGCCTAGAGGGTAGTTTGTAAATCAATGGTGTGCTGACATTTCTCATTACACCAATCACACCAAAGTTGCTGGAGTTATTAAAAGAATTCAGGGACAGCAAGGAAGGGTGTCCCTACTGCAGAATGGCTGAGTGGTATCCCCTCCTTCACCTTGCCTCTATTATTATCGCCAGTGAATTTATACAGCACGAAAACACTTAGTAATCCTATACTACTTTAGTCCTATATCATATTTTGCTGTTACCAGCTATTTTTTTAAAAGTCAAAATTACATTTTCAGAGAAGAAAGCAGGGAAGAAAGTAAAATTCCCTGCAATCTCTACCAGAGTGTTATGGAAATTATAAAATCTTAATTATAAAAAGTACCTTGCAAATTCCTTTAAAGGTATATTACTAATATTAGTTATTTTTGTGCTTTTTTAAAAAGCCATATATAGAGTTCTAGCAGACTTGGAAATGCAGCCCTGTAGCGGCACAGCTGCTGTTTCCTGGTTCAGCTATTCAGGGTTTCAGAAACCCTATTCAGCTATTCCCTCAGAATCTGAATTGGGCAGCAATCCAAATGACTTGTTGGAAACACAAACCTGTGAGCAGTTCTGCCCAGGGGCTCTTCCTAAGTTGACCCTGGTCAGTTTAAACCGTGGGAAAAGGTGAAGCGGCCACACTGGTGTTCAGGAGAACGTTCCCCGCAGAGCCCACTCCCTGCGATGTGGGTGGGGAGGAAGCCTGGATGCAGGGGTGCTCTGGGGCCTGCCCAGGCCAGCGCAGAGTTCCCGACGTTCTCAGGAACTTCCTGGAAGTCTTGATAGGTGAGACACAGTCCCTGGAGGGGACAGTCTGCCCCCGTCAGCTTTGGCCATGCCCAGGGCGGCCTGCCAAGCCGACTGTTTTTATTGTTAGCAAATGTCACTCCGCCCAAGACAGGATTTTCACAGATTCCTTAGATGAATGGGAACTTCTGGTTGCTCCTTGTTTTCTGAAGTGTGTTATGACAGGCATCTGATCTGTTCCTTCTTTGTAATTCAGGAAAAATTCCTCAGAGCCTAGAGGGTCACCAGAAAGCAGCAGACACCGTTATTCCTTTCCGGGCAGTTGCAGGGGCTGAAGCGTTGATAGATTAATTTTCTCAGAGATGATCCATGTTTTAGGCTGTTCAAGGAGGAAGAGAACACATGTCCCCGCTCCGAACATTTCCTTGTTTGATTTGCGCCCCCAGACAGGAAGCTGGGGAGGTTAGGGAAGGACCAGCTCTAAGCTTTGGCAGTAGAGGAGGGCCCAGGAAGTGAGAGGTGTGGCCCTGCGGGCACCGGCCCTGGACTGCCACCCCTCACGGGGGCGCCGGCTCCTAGTGGGTCTTTAGGGGAAAGGCGGGCCTGTCCGTGCTCAGCACGCCCCGCACCACCGAGGGCGGGCGCGTCCGGCCCCGCATCTGCTCTGGCGCCTCCCGGGGGAAGGGAGGTGCATTGACCGGTTTGGTCCCGGGTTCTGCGTGGCCTTGGGAAAGGGCTATCCCCCGTCCCTATTGCACAGCAGAGGCAGCAGTCTGGAGATTCCGAGCAGGGAGGCCGGCTGCCTGCAGGCGTCGCGTCACACCTGCTGTCGCAGTTGTCCCCATCTTGCTTCTAGTAAATTTCAGACATGCCGGTGGTGGGCGAGGGCAGAGGCAGCCAGGGCGGCGTCTCCCGGGAGGACGACTTCAGCGCCAAAAACACAGCGTGGTGGCCAGGAAGCTAATCCCACAATGTGGGTGGGCACAGGAGTGGTCCGGGTCTGCCCCGGTTTGGGGAGCAGCTGCGCAGCCGCAGCCGTGGGGAAAGCTGAGTCCGTGGAAGCCGGAAACCAGGTTTCCGAGTCACAGCTCAGTCGCTTCCCAGAGGTGCGACCTTGAGAATGCTACCCGACCTCTCGGGGTCACGATCCTTTATCTGTTAAATGATGATAATGGGAACAGCTACATCAGATGGTTCCAGGGAGGAATAAATGAGATCATGCATGTTGGAGTGCTTGGTAAACCATGGTAGCTGCCAATATTTATGGAATGGGGCTGCGAGCCTGGCACTGCTCTGTGAACTGTGTGTGTCTTAACTAGAATCCTCACCAACTCTTTAAAGTACGTGACTATCATTATGCCCATGAAAATGGGATAACAGATGAAGAAAGTAGGGCAGAGAGAGATTAAATAACTTGCCTGTGGTCAAACTGTAAACACACAGCATAGGTGGTATTCAAACCAGGCAGTCTGAGTCCAACCCCACCACTAAAAGTGTTATTATAATGTGGGAAATTTCCTATGCATCTTTGAGGCTCCCTTCCTCCTTAACCTAATCCAGTCAGTCACTGAGATCTGCAGAGTCTGTCTGTTTCATATTTGTCCTCTTGCTTTTACTCTCTCACATTCATTGTGGTGGTTAAAACATGACTTTCAACTTTTTGACACTCCTATTGAAAGGTGGAATCTAGGCTGGGCACAGTGGCTCATGACTATAATCCTAGCACTCTGGGAGGCCAAGGCAGGCAGATCATTTGAGCTCAGGAGTTCAAGACTAGCCTGAGCAAGAGCAAGACCTCATCTCTACTAAAAATAGAAAGCAATTAATTGGCCAACTAAAAATATATAGAAAAAATTAGCCGGGCATGGTGGTGCATGCCTGTAGTCCCAGCTACTCGGGAGGCTGAGGCAAGAGGATTGCTTGTGCCCAGGAGTTTGAAGTTGCTATGAGCTAGGCTGACACCACAGCACTCTAGCCCAGGCAACAGAGTGAGACACTGCCAAAAAAGAAAAAAAGGAGAGGAGGGGAGGAGAGGAGGGAGAGGGGAGACAGGAGGGGAGGGGAGGAGAGGAGGATGAAATCTATGTTCCCTCCCTTTGAATTTGTGCAGGGTTGTAACCGCTTACCAATAGAGTAAAGCAGAAGTGATGAGAGGGTACGACCCTCCCCACCAGGTCATAAAAGGCATTGTTGTCTGGCACACTAAGCCATCAGGTGAAGAAGTTTGACTACCCTGAGGCTGCTGTGCAGGGAAGGTCACATGTGGTCATTGTAACCAGCCGTGATGGTTGAGCTCACCCTGCAAGACTTCCCCACCAAGGTGCCAGGCACATGAGTGACAACATCTTCTTGGAAGTGGCTGTTGCAGCTCCAGCTGTTCAGTCCCACCCGTTAGAGTCACCCCAGTCTCTCCAGGTAAGGCCCCAGATTGAGGAGCAGATTTTGCGTCCAAGATTTCCTCTGCTGCTGCCCTCATTCAGACAGTAACCTTCACCCTAATATAATTTGTCTTTTAAAATACAGCCCCAAAGAGATAACCTTACCCTAAAAAATTTAGGTGACTGCCCATTCAATAAAGACAGAACTTCTTGGCATGGCATCAGTGACCTACCTGTGTCTTTGGGCTGAAGGAGGTTTGAGTAATGGTCAAATAGTTGAAGTCTCCCAGTAAGTCGCGTAAGTTGGCACCTTGCTGGCCTCTGTATGCTTCTGACCCTCCTTCCTCGTCTGTACCCATTACTCTCCAGCAGGGCACCGTTCTCAGTTTGTGCATTTCTACTCACATATTTATGTTCCTAATAGTGTGTTTCTCTTAGACACAGTCTATTCTTCCATTGCTCTATTCTGTCATTGAATGTCTGCATCAAGTCTCAAAAATGCCCACAAGGTTCTATTTATTTCTTGGTATTAAAATGGCAAGTTCACTTGCTTTATTATCCATGGCCTAGGCAATGATGTCTAGACACCTGAGATCAGCAGTATTGTGTTTCACCTCCTTTCCAGTTACCTTAGCCTGTATTTGTCTGCAATTTGCCTGCCTGTAATGTTCCTTTCTCTCTTCTGCTCCATACTCTCCATAGTAACTGGCTTTCTGGTTTTAGCTGAGCATTTCTTGCTCTACTCTGTAATTCTTACAGATGGAATCCTAAAATGCTGAAAATGGAAGTCTTTTTTTTTTCCTTTTCTCTCATTCTTTTATAAGCTATTTCAAGCAATTATATACCCAAGTACTGGGAGTCCTTTTTAAAACAAGATATTCTGGGTAATTGAATTTGAATTATCTGATTGAGAGATGAGATTTTAAAAATTAGACATTTCCTTTAGTCATTGACATTTTAAAGTAAAAAGAAAAACTATTTCAGGGCAAAAGGAGCATAAAGATTTCAAAATTTTAAGTAAAGGTAAAATAATGCATAGAGAAACAATAGCACATTTCCTCCAAAATAACCGGATGGTTTGTCTCCATTTAAAGAACTGAAACATCAACCAGTTGTTCACATGTTGGTCCCTTCAGAGGAATGTGATATACATTATCCAAAATGTGTGTCAGAAAGAAAAAGCTGGAATAAGCCTGAGCTTGGATATAACGGTCACTTTTCAAAAGCAGAGCACTTGACAGATTCCTAATCCTTTTTCTTTTCTTTTTCTTGGCAAATTAAAAGCAAAATCAGCCAGTGCTAAATTTTGCCTCTAGAGTAAATGATGAAATGCACATGTCAAGACACCCTTTCAGTCTCCTGCTGGCTCCCTCACCCCACTCCCCTGCACGTTTGCAGTGCACAGAAGGCTCAGCACAGCTTTCTCCCTGCATTTTCTTCCCTGATCTGCAAAAACCATTTCTTAATCTTAATGGAGAAATTTTTGTTTTGCTTCCACACATAATAAAATATCTAGTGAATTATTAGATGAATGCTGGTTATCTTTTTATGACATTAATCAGTCAATCTTACAAGGCTTCCTTTTCTCCCTCAGGCTTTCTCATTACCTTATGAGCATTTAAAAATATCCAAAACAAGACCCCAAACCCAGAAGCCATGAAGGAACAGAACAGCAGATTTATCTACAAAAAAATAAATTTGATATGGCAAAGAAAAATGTAACTTCAATAAAGTTAAAAGCGAAAGGTAAAGGGAACAGAGAAAAAATATTTGCAATACATAACAAACTATTAATATCCCTAATATAGAAAGATATTAAGAGTTTTATATAAAGAGCTCATCAGTAAAATAAACCCAATCAAACTAATGAGAAAATCAGCAAAGGACATGAACAGGCAATTCACAGAAGAAATACAGAGTAAATACTGTCAAATAACTAAAATAAGAATAAGTTGCAAGTTTACACCTATGAGATGGGCCAAAATTGAAGAGATTGTTCATTTGCAATGTTGGCAAGAGTGAGAGAGGAAATAGGTACTTTACTATAATGTTGTGGGAGTATAAATAGGTACAACCTTTTAGAAGAGCACTTTGACAACAGTGATCAAAATTGTAAATGCACATACACTTTTACCCTACAGTTTTACTCCTCCATATCTATCCTACAGAAATCACTGCACAAGTAAACAAGAGCATATTTATGAGGGCATTCACTTGGTATATTTTTAAATTGCAAATAATTGAAGAAAATATCAATGATCATCAATATGAAACTCTTTAAATGCATTTACAGTACACCTGCACAATGTATTAATTATTCTTTAGTGTGCTTTCAAAGCATTGGCTAGATCTTCTTCAAGATATATTGTGAACAAACAGAGCAAGTCTCAAAACTATTTATATAGATAGTATGTTCCAATTTTTTATTTTAAAATTTTCAAATTGTGTGTGTGTGTGTGTGTGTGTGTGTGTATGTGTGTGTGTAGATAATGCACTGGAGAGTTACTCACCATAGTGAATTATCCTTGGAAAGTAGAGATAAAGTGGCAACTTCCTTTGTAACTTTATGCTTTTCAATATTATTTAAAATTTTTATAATGACATGAATTGTTTTTAGAATTTTTAATGAAAACAACTAAAGAAAAACAATATCCAAAGACGCTCTAACTATATTCCTGTTATGAGTACCAACCCAAGTCTCAAGGATCCCTAAAATATCATATTTCCCTTAAAATCTCAAATTCACTTCATGGGCCTTCTCTTGGAATAGAGATTCCTTTACTGGACAGGATATATGGTTTTACACTGAGGCCACGAGTCTCATTTTGGACCCTCTTCCCAATTACTCTGTCTTACTCATTTCCAGACAACTGTTCCCATGGAGATAAATCTGACCTTTGGTGGCAGTCACTGGAAGAAACAGTACACACTCACCGGGGCAATGGGCTTGCAGTGTCTAAAGTAATACAGAGTGAGTTAAAGAAAGCTGGCAGACTACACCCCACCACCTGCTGTGAACAGTGTTCACACAACCTCACCAGCCAGGCTTGCCACTGCTTGGTCATTTGCACCGAGGCCCGGGAAGCTGGAGTGTTCCAGAAAAAGCATTAGCCACACCCCAGGACTTCTGTCAGCTGAGCACTCTAAGCACAAGAAATTAGGTTTGGTTTTCCTTAAGGGCAAAAGCGCTACCTTCTAGGATCACTGTCAAGCTCACACAAGAGTCTGCATGCCAGAATTTTGTGAATGGTCAAGTGTCCTTCTGATGTATAGAATCTTCTCACCTTAGCAATGTGCCAACACTTTCAGTTTTCCTGACTTTCACTTTCTTGGCAAAGTCTTTAGTGGAGAGAGAGTATTCTTGGGCTTACAGAAAATATCCATTAGTCCTTGTGGACTGTTTATTTCCTTATAAAGGAAATTCATGGAAACACTTGTCTGCTGACTGCCCGTGGTGTGCTGGTAAAAGTTTAACAATTGGCTCCCTAGAGAAACTACACCTTGGTTTGAAATATTTACCTATTTCCACAGTGTAGCTGCAAGTCCCATGGTGGATTTCAAGCTATCAACCAAACATCACTGAATATCAATTGGGAAGAGATGTGTATAGTATATAGGACCATTACATAGTTAATCTACCTTGAGAGCAAGAGGCAATAGTAAAGTACAGTAAAATGATTAGGAAGAGATTAATTGTGACTATTTTAAACATTATTTAATCATAAATTTATATAATTTAATTTTTAATAATAGCTAGTTTAACAGCTGCCTCACAAAATTTCTGAAAAATTTAACAATTGGCTTTTGCAAGCCAATAGAAGCCAGCTTCAGCACACCCCTGAGATTGCTACACTGCAAGATGCTATAGCTATTATTTTTCCTGGGAAAATCACAGTCATCATTTTCTTAATGAAAATCCAGCTCTCCCTTTGTTTTCAACAGTATATATATATATTTGTATGGCAACAGGAGGTGTCTGTATTCATGGCTCCTTGGACTTAGTGCAATGTGTTGCAGACAAGGAAAGGCAAGGATATTGGAATCCAATAGACTAGTGACAATATATAATTTAATTAAACCTTGGACTTTAATAATGTAATAATATTTACTACCTGTGAGATTGTTATAAAAAGAAAACGAGATAAAGCAGGCAGAGACTATACTTAAACATAGAGCAAGCGTGAAGTAGAAGGATTTATACACGCAAACCACCTGGCAGAGAGCAGGAGCTTAAATCATGTTAGTACCTTCTCACTTTAACAAGCGCCCATAGATCCCCAGCTAATTGATGGGAGCTATTTGGAAAGACCTGGAAAGCCAGCAGCATCCCAACACAGCAGGTGAATCCAGCTTTCCTTTCCTTTTCACCTGATTTGGGCATCAGGCTGGGAGAAACCCTGACTTTATCATCCTGGTGCCCAGCAACGGCCAGTAGTTTAACCTTCTCAATTAGAGCTGCCATCGTAGGGCAGAAGGTTCAACAGATAGAACTGTCCTGGGTTTGTGGTGATATTATTCCTCTGGGTTAAAGGTTATAAACCGAGTGCTAGGCATTCTTGGGGAAAATCCCATTCTCACCCAGCTTTGTGGCTTAGCCAGGTCCTAGGCCTGTACACAAGCTATCCAAAAGAGTTTAAAACAAAATTTTTAAACAGGAAAACTATCTATTGCAGCAATTTGAATTCTTCCTTAATTAATTGGCCAAACCACATGCTTTATACACGTTAATGGGTTTTTTTAGAACATTAAAATTTCATTCTAAAATGTATTTTGGAAAATATGCAGGTGAAATTACCAAAAAAATTGTTTAGAAAAGCAGCAACAGAGGAATGCCAAGCTTTCCCAGGAAGCAGCATATTATGTTTGAACAGCAACAAAAATAACTAAGGCATATATAACAACTCACAATACAATAAAGCAAAAGAAATTTAACAGGGGGAGGAAACTGGAATGCCCTCCCCTACACTCTATTTCAAATCGAAATCTCTTTGCAAGTCCTAGCCTCGTTCTTGGAGGCCCCAATAAGCCTTTTGGACC